CAAGCACAAATATTTTTTGTAAAGAACCAGAGAGCAGGCCAGATACAGTGGCTCGCTCCTGCCAGGAGTTCAAGACCAGCCTGAACAAGAGTGAGACCCTGTCTCTATAAAAACTAGAAAAATTAGCCAGGCGTGGTGGGGCACCTGCAGTCCCAGCTACTCACTGGGGAGGCTGAGGCAAGAGGATCACCTGAGCCCAGGAGTTTGAGGTTGCAGTGAGCTATGATGACACCACTGCACCCTAGCCAGGGCAACAGAGTGAGACCCTGTCTCTAAAAAAAAAAAAAGAAAGAAAAAAAGAAAAAAGATCCAGAGAGTAAAATTGTGAAATAGTTTAGGCTTTATGATTCATAATGTCTTTATTGTAACTAGTGAATCCTGCTATGGTAGCAGCCATAGGCAATACATACAATGGGCATGGCTATGTCTCAATAAAACTTTACTTATAAATAGGGAAATTTGAGTTTCATACAATTTTCATGTATCACTAATATTATTTCGTTTTTTAGCAATTAAAAAATGTAAAAACCATTCTTAGCTCATAGTCTTTGCAAAAGTAGAAGCCTGGATTTGGCCCATGAGCTACAGTTTCCTGACTTTTGTTTAGTAAATGTGTGTAGGATCAAGTCCTCTGGAAAATAAGGTGATTTAAGTTCTGGACGAGCAAGAAGGGGATGTTATAGAGAGGAGGAGCCACCATGAACACAAGTGCAACTCATTTTACACGTTGAAACTTGGCAAATTCCATCTGTAATTCTAGTGAGTTTGTAAAGACACTTTTTCTTTGTTACACTAAATGGCTTAGCATAATTCCATTTGAGTAGATAAAAAATTAGAATGTATTAAAATAAAACAAAACTTAAGTGAATGTCCTGGACCCATCATTTTTTATCTCCATTTTTAGTATTGCTACCATTTCTTTATTCTTTTCTCCTATTGGTGTTATCTCATTTCTTCACATAGGTAGCTCTTTTTAATTCTGTCTCTGTCCTTTGTGTTTTGAGGCACCATCTACTTGTCTCTAGATTTGAACACATGAATGTTCCTTTTAATCTAAGCCCTTCTACTAACTACTTGTGTAATTCTGAGTAAATCATTTCACCTCTCCCAACCAGTTCATTCTGTGCTAGTTAGGCTAACTCAATAATGCTAACTACACAGCAGACACACCCAGAGCCTAAATGGCTGAATGTATGGGAGGTTTATTTTAACTTCTCATAAAACCCAGTGTGGGCTGCATGAACCTTCCTTCGTCTTTTAACTACATCATCTGCTGAGTAGGAGAAGGGTGGAGAATCCTCCCTTCTACCAACAGTCAGTAGGTCAGAATTGCTCACCATGCCCAACCCTAATGCAAGTCAGGCCAAGAAATGAAAGGAAACTTATGGTTACGGTTTTACCGAGCACTGAATTGATGTGTGAAATGATTCCACAGAACAGGAGTGGCCAAATGTTTCCTCTGAAGGGCCAGACAGTAAATATTAATATTTAAATATGGTGGATAACAGGCCTGTCTTGAAGCTACTCAACTCTACAATTACAGTGTGAGAGCAGCCATAGACACTAAGCATGTGAATGGGTCATGGGTGTAGTTGTGTTCCAATAAAACTTTATTTTCAGAAATAAGAAGGTGGCCAGATTTGGGCCACAGGCCATAGTGTGCTGACTCCTACCTTAGAGCACGACTAACATATAATTACTTTCATTTTTTACCACCTCAGATGCTCAGAGAATATGGGCAATGACTTCTTCCTCTGTGTTCCTTATGCTGGGTAACACTAAACCAATAGACAGTTCCCAAGAAGCAAACAAGAATGAGGTCAGATGGTCACTGTTCAGGGTGTTCCCTTTGGAATGCCACTGGTCTGTTTCCCTTCTTCCACATATTTTCTCTGAAGCCATACTAGAGTGAGATCCTAGCACTCTGCTCGGAGAAAGAACAGGACATATCACTAGGTTTGCATAAACATGTACTAAACAGTCTAAACTGGGTCTCGATAACATGCAAGTATACATTTTGTGAAGTTCTGGTAGAGGGGTGTATAAATTTGTTTTTTCCACAAAAACTTACCTTCTGGTATCTACCCAAGTGAGAAATCTGAGTCACTCTAGAAGTTTCCCTTAAAACCAACTTTCACAGCCAATCAGATGCCAAGTCCTAAAGAGCCGACCGCATTAGCATCTCCTAAAAACATCTGCTATCTCCAACCCTATTGCTGCTGTTTTCCTTCAGGACCAAATTGTGTCTTGGCTGGAATTCTAGAACATCCTCCTAACTAGTCTCTCTTCCTCTCGTCTGGCCCTGGACAATCCATTCTTTAAACTGCTAAAGTGAGTTTTTATTAAAATGCAAACCTGATTATGAAGCCCCCTTGATTGGAAATCATTCAGTGGTTCCTTAATTCAGATTGAAGATCAAACTCCTTAACATGGCATTTGAGACTCCTTATGATTTGGCCCCTGCAGCTTCCAATATCTCATGCCTTGAACCCACCACTATCTTCACATACTCTGTACTGCAGCCGTCTGGGACTATTAATACCTGCGATTTTGTACTCTCTTTCTCTACACCCTCTTTCATCTGTCTACCACTTCTGCTTCATCAAGCAGAAGATGAAGATTCAACCCAGCTATGCATCAACTGCCTGTGGAATCTTCTTCTGATCTGCTTCCAAAAGTAGAGGCCCACCTTTGGCTCGCTTATAGTCTGTGCTTTAACACACTGTAGCCCTGATCATTGCACTGAACTGAACTGAAGCATAATCGTTGGATTGCTTGTCTCTCTCCTCGTGTGCCATCCTTCCTCCAACACCAAGTCTAGAATCATATGGAAAACAAGGACAGTGTCTTACCTGTGTTATTCCTACTGCAATGCTCACCATGATAGCTGTAATTTAGGATATACTCAGCAAATATTCATAGAATGTATTGATGCAGCAAAAAGTAGCCTGTTTGTTTTCACGATTCTATAATATAACAAATTGTGTTTCTAATGCAGTTAGAACAGTGGGTGGTCAGGATTAAGAAAAGGGTATTTAAGAAACATTTCAAAGTAAAGGCATCACATACATCCGTTGACTTGATCTTTATACAATTTTTAAGAGGTAAACATAGAAATGTGGTGAAACAAAGACACAACACAACATAATAAAATAAAACCTAGAATGATGGACATGTGTGTTTCTATTGAAGCCAGTGTCATAGCTTGTGCCTTTTTAATTGCTGTTGTAGAGTCTAGTTGAAAGGATAGTGAATGTGAAATGGAGACTCAGTAGCCCCAAGGACAGACATTTCATGAGAAACCAAACCTGACATTAAACTCTGATCTTTTACACTTCAAAAGCAACTGAGTCCTGTGTGGGTACTAATTTGAATTCTGTTACTGAGTTGATGTGTCATAATAATAAATGCCTTGCACTCTCTTGTATAACAATATTTATGCCTTTTAATGTCTTTCATAAATATATTGCAATGGTGAAAAAATGAAGCATATTGTGATAATTTGCATACCTTTTTTATTTAAAAACTGGATAAAATACAGATGTTTTCTATATGATTGTCTATTTTAGATTGTAGCCTAGGCTGGGTGTGGTGACTCATGGCTGTAATCCCAGTACTTTGGGAGACTCGCTTGAGGCCAGGAGTTTAAGCAGCCTGGGCAATATAGCAAGACCCCATCTTTATATATATAAAAAAGAAATAGCTGGGCATGGTGGCATACACCTGTGGTCCTTGCTACTGAGGAAGCTAAGAAGGAAGGATTGTTCGAGCCCCGAAGTTCAGGCTTTCAGTGAGCTATGATCACACCACTGCACTCCAGCCTGGGTGACAGCATGACCCTGTTGCTATTTAAAAAAATAGATTATAGCCTAAATGATATCTGCTTGAAAAAAAATGATGAGCTAGAGGAGACAGAGTAATTTGAATATTCTGCAGGAAAATAAACTATAGAATATAGTGATTAACAAATATTTAAGGACAATGAATATATTAGTAAACCAAAAGTTTATTGTACTTTGGGGAAAGTAAAGTACAATAAACTTAATTTATTGCAAAAACATTCACATTTAACCTCTTGTAATTATTATAAGGATTGCTAATATTTCAGTAATATAGATAAGAAGGATAAAAATAAGAAAGCTTGGATTGATTCTTGGGAAATACACATCTGAGAACCAAAAAGACTGCAATTTTTCTGAAGGATGATGTTAGAAGCTCTGCTAGGTCAGAAAAAAAGTGAATATAATTAAAACTATGGGGAAAAACAGGAAACTGCCATAGGAATAATCCATTACTGACAAAGGATATAGAATAGATTATATCTGCTATTACTCCATGATTCTAACTTTTATGTTTAAATTGACTTTTCTTGCTATTTGGGGATTAATTAAAATCCTTAAGAAAGAAAATCAAAGTTCACTACAAATACCAAGTATATTCTTAGATCCTAGAAAAATGGTCTCTATAACTTTACTTAATTGTGATGACAAAATTCCAGCATATGGTATTTGGGAACAATATCTAATGCCACCAATTCCTTGGACTATATAAAGAATCAAAAAATGGAACTGCTTTAATTATGCTTCAGTGTTGTGAGGGTTCTTTTATTATTAGATTCTGTATCCTCAGGGTCTGGCAAATGCCACATGCTTATTAAATGTTATTTGAATGAAAGGTGACTTAAAATTGCAACTTTCAGAATTGATTATTAAGAGAAATTCTGTGCACTATATTTTTACACTTTTCTGGGGAAATCAAATGAAAAGCCTAAATTATTATATCAATTATGCCATAATATTTTTTCATTAAACAATTTTTTCATCAATTTAATTTGTCAAGTGATTATTTAGTGTCTCTTTGTAAAGCACAATTATATTTTAGGTATAAAACCCAGATCATTTAGTGGGAAAAAAATCATCACTTAGATTAAATTGCTGAGGAGATTGGGCTGAAGATGATCACGATCATATTAATACTCTCGTCATGCTCATTTATTTTAGCCTAAACAACGCACATCCATTGTGTCTTCTCTGGATTTCCATCGAATGAATCACAACCAAGAATATTTCGAAATCAACACATCTGCAGGGTGCACAAGCTTTACTTCCAGCCCTCCCGTTAGTCCACTCACCTCTTCTGTTGCAACCACGGAAGTCAAGGATGAAGGACCTGCCCAGACAGGTAAAGCAATTCATTTTATGCAGCTTCATTGTTGAACTTTCAAGACTAAAGCCTTTATGAGTTAGAGGAATTAAGAGGAGTCTTCAAACAAATTGCATTGTGATTTTAGTTCACCTCCGTGTGTGGCAGTGTAGGGCTTTAAGATTTTTGTCGGTGTGGGTATAATAATCTTTTTAAGTGCATGGATGGCCTTTCAGGTGTTAGATATTAAAGATGATGATTTAATATTATTATGGTCGTAAAATAACCAGGGACCTAGAAATGCTTTTCTTCTACTGATGTTTATACTCTTCTCCATACAGTGGTCTTAACACAGGACTTCATTAACAACTGCTTTGAGGCTGGAAATCCATATGGAGGGTATCTGGTAATAATGAGTTGTACAATGGGGCCTCAGCAGGCTTTCAACCTATTTAAGCCAAGGTGAAGTTGGAGAGGAAAGGAGTAGGGGAATAAGGCTGGGAGTAAGGGTAAGATTAAAGAGAGTAACAACACCCACCCAATCTGATTTGCAATGCTTCCTTTCTTTGGAGTCAAGGAGCTATTATAATAACTGGTAAGGCCAAGGGACAGAAATATAAGTGGGCCCTGAAGGACCTCCTCCCCTTATATCTAATTTACAGTAATTGTCGAAGTAGAGATGAATCTCTAAATTTTAAATGTTTTATTTGGGAATCAAGAATTGCAATTCAGTGCATACACACATACTGGGTGGTCTCAAGAATTGCAATTTAGAGCGGTCTTTGGTATGTTTGAAGAACAAGGAGAAGGTTAAAGATTTTGCAAAAAAAAAAGAGAGAGAAATGTTCATTATTGCTCTTTGAGAGAGTTTATTGGCACTAGTAAGGTTTCGAGGAGCTGGCAAGTTTTGATTGATACGTGGTGGCAACGGTTAAAGCTGTTCTCAGAGTTACAGAAAGTTGTTTCAGTAGCAGTTAGATAAAACTGGTTCCTGGTTAAAGCGTGCAGCTTCAGCAGCCAGGCTCACAGAGAATTACCTTCTTGGAGCAATGTTATATGTCTTATGTGCTTTTTCTCCCTGGCCTCTTGACTGTTTTAGTTGAGTATGACAAGAATGACCCAATTTGTATGATCAACTTTAACATATGTAAACTATTCAATTACTTTCATTCAAAGAGACATGATTCTAAAACCCAGTAGGCATAATTAATATGAATTTTAGAATCACAAAGTATGGTCTGTGTGGATATTCCATATAATCTTTGTTCAAAGAGAGTATCTGTATATGGGTATGGGTGTGTGTGTGTGTGTGTGTGCATATATGTGTACACACGCACATATATGTGTGCGTTCTTAAGTCCTTTAACTATTTTTAAAAGCACTAATACAAACATTCCAAAATATAGCCAGAGAATTACTTTCCCCTAGGAACAAAGCTAACATTTTAAAACTAATGACTACTAGCAGTGGTAAGATCAATATGCTATAGAAGCTATAATCCAACCTTTCTTTGGAAACCAGAGTGATATTTATAAAATGTAACTCAAAGCGTGTCATTGCCATGCTTAAGATGCTCCTATAGCTTCTCACAGCATTTAGAAAACAATCCAACTCCTCACCATGGCCAATGAAGCCCAATTTAGTCTGGTTCCCTCTAGCAGATCCATCCTGGCCCACACTGGCCTTTTTTGCTGTGCATTCTGGCCCTGGGGCTTTTGTACTTAGGTTCCCTCTGCTTGGAATCTCTGTCTTCAAATTTTCATATGACTGAGTGTCATTTAAGTTTTGACTCAAATGAACTTCTTCATAGAGGCCTTCCCAGACCACTCTATCTTAACTAGAAGCCCTCAATAGGATAAGAATTATAATAATGAAAATGCAAACAGAACAACAATAATAAGCAAATAAATAACACTATATATCAGGCACTGTTTTAGTCATTTTATGTATATCAACTCATTTCAACTTCCCTCATAGAATTAGGTATTATTATTCATAGATAAGGAAACAAAAACCGGATAAATAACTAAATACCAGCCCATAAAAACAGAGCTGGGATTCACACCCGGTGCTACAGTTTATGTTCTTAACCATATTTTCTACATTGCTCTTGTTACTTCTATCAAATTATCCTGTTGTCTTTTTTCTGTAGCCTTATTTACTATATAAAATTATACTGATCACTTGTTTACTTATTATCAACTTTCTAGAATATAAACTGGAATAGAGGAATCTCTGGCACATCATAAGCACTGCAGAGTGCCTAAGTTTGGTTACTAATTGTAAGACTGAACCTCTTGCCTAGCTAAGAGACTTCATCTCTTTATGCTATAGTTTTCTTACCTATAGAATTATAGGTAAGAAAATAATTCTATAATCTATAATTCTATAGAATTATAGTAACAATGAATCAGATTACCTTACCCTGTAGTGTGGTAATGCATGTAAAGTGATTAGCACAGTGTCTAGCACATAGTGTTCAATAAATGTTAGTAACTACTAGTAATTACTAGTAGTTATTAGTAGCAATAACTATGATATTAACATAATTCTCTATAGTCTACACCAAGCCTAGCATTCATTCAGGGGCATTAGCATGTATTGTATACCTACCCTGTGCTAGATGCAATTTTATAGGAAAGGAGAAATGGGATATGATTTGTAAAAAAAAGGGTGTGGACTCTGGGAGTGGTTCTGGGCATATAATTACTATTCAAACAATACTTATTTGAATGACTAGTTCCAGATTTAAATTCCTAAAATGGGAAGAATGACAAGGACTTTGATACTTGCCTTCAGAAATATCTTTCTTGGCTTTATTTTAGCTACAGTACCGTTTCTTGGACAATTAATATTTTTTTAAATTTTCTTCAACAATCTCTGAGGTAGATAGAAATACTATTTTTTTTCTTTTTCTTTTTAATTAAAAGCAGGAAAAGTCATAGATATAGTCCCCAACCCTTCTCTTCACTCTGACCCTGACACCAGAGAAAAAAAATCAGAACACACACCTCTTACTGCTGCCAGGACATGAGTGACACCACCCGAAATGTGTGGAGAAATAGTCATCATCAGGGTATTTTCAGGTCTGGTCTTTAAACAGCCAGAGTCTAACCTTTTGACAGTTGAAATGGTTTCCAATAGCATCTTAATATGGTTTCGTAATATAATATATCACTTCCACATTACATCAAAAATTTTAGACTACGCTGACATTTAGCAATAATCTGGAAGGACAGCGCTGATTTGCTCTACATTAAAAAGTAAAACTTTTAATTTTAAAAGTAAAACTTTTAAGGTAGGCATTTATCTACTTAGAAAAAGTAGCATTTTATTATCTTACATACAGATAATTTGTTCTACTTTGCATTTAAGAACCTTCAGTTCTATAACTGATTTGCTAGATATTTTCCATCAAATCATTTAATTTTTCTGGTCTTCAGTTTGCTCCTCTGAAAAGGGGAAATAATACCTACTCTTTGGGTGTTTGTTGTAATAAATGAGTTTATTAACATGAATGAATTTTATAAACTATGGAAATTCATATTCTCCCTTAATATTATCACTGTTGTTTAGTATTATTGTTTTTCTTCTATGATATTATTATTATTTGAGATCAATAGTAGTTTTAAGATAGAAGAGCCTATTGTAAGTCTGTACTGATGCCAAGGTAGCTGACCTTTTCTTGACTTAGAAGTATAATTTAAATTAACTGATTAATCTACATTTCATTTAATAAATTGTTACATACACACAAAAAATTAAACTTGACAAAAATGGCACTTAATAGAACAAAGATTAATATACCTTCAAAAACAATTTGTATGCTGCAAAACACTGTTAAGTGAACCAATGTATTTATTGTAACAGAGGGTCATTTTAAAAGCAGCTTGAATTGTGATTAAAGCTTTAACTCATGAATCATCAAAAAAGGTTGTTAAAGGGGAAGAGCTTTGGTGTTAGTCTGGGAAGTGATAAAAACTGGTTTGTGTTTAATTAGAAAGATCACTCTAGAATTAACATCCAGCAGATAGATTTGAGATGATGTGAGTTTGAAGACGGGGAGAAACAGCATCATCAGCAGTAGAAAAAATATAAATGGTTTTCAAAGATACAAGGAAAGAGTTATCCACAGGTCATGGTAATTGATTGGATGTGCAAAGGTGAGGGAGACTAGTTCAATGAGGGCTCCAGAGGCATGGAATCTACATGCTGTTCCTTGAAATATGGGATAATTGTAGGTAAGAAGGTGGGGGAGGGGATAGAGCATGTGAAGCCTAATAGGCCATTTAAGAACTTTAGCTTTTGCTCAGAGTGACTTTACTTAGAGCCAGTTCAGATCTTTCAGAAGGAGGTCAAAGGATCTAACTTCTATTGTATGAGGATTACTCCGGCTATTGTGTTGACTATAGACTGGAGAGGGGAACAAAGGTGGATGCAGGAAGGCCAGGTAGGAGGTAAATGCAGCATTGCAGTGAGGAGAGAGAGGGGAAGGCAGCTAAGATCAAAGGTAAAGCAGTGGAGGTGGAGAGAAATTGAGGGATGTTGGACATATTTTTAAGGTAGATCCATTAGGATTTCATGGTGGAGTGTATGTGGTATATGATAAAAAGAGAAGAATTAAAGATGACTCCAAGATTCTTTTTCTGAACAACTGCAGAATGGATTTCCTATCATCTGGCATACAAGAGGTTATGGAACAGCAGGTTTGGTAAACAAAAGTACCAGGAGTCAATTTTGAGTTTGAGATGCATATCAGGTATCTGAATAGATGTGTCAAGTTGGCAGCTGAAGGTCCCGTCTAAGGATATAAATGCGAACATCCTCATTACATAGACAATATGGAATGAATGTGGCTAAAGAAAGCCAAAAACTGAGTTCAGTGAAGGAGGGAATAAAAGGCAACACCAGCAATAAAGGCTGAGAAAGGAGCAACCTGTGAGGTAGGAGGAAATCTGTGAGTGTCCTGTTTTGAAGATGAGTGATGAAGGTTATTAGGAAGGAAGGAGCGATCAGCTGTGTCAAATGGGGCTGATAAG